ATACCTAATGTATGTAGTAACTGCCATGGCGTACGGGACGTGTGTATGGCCAACACCTGTCAAGCCCCTTGGCGTTGGTAATAAGAAGCCGTAGCCTATCAAAGTTTTTCCCAGCTAGCCCTCGGCTATTCGCTAGCATCTTGCCCCAGACCCCGTCTGACCCTTAGCTGGATGGAGAAGTTAGCAAGCCTGTCTCTCCCACTCCAGTCCACTTTACAAGGCCTCGCTGCGACCATCTATCTGAGTCCATCTGAGTCCATCTGAGCCATTGAATCTGCGATTCTCTCCCGTCGCCCATCACACGTCCAATACCCCCCCCGTGTTTCCTTCTGGCAGTTGGCCAGGCCGCCTATGCCGTTTGCAGACACTCGGTCTCGATGGTTTCCGTCACACGGCAGGCCGGTGCCATGTCTCGGTAACGTTAGCTGGTTGGTCAATGGGCAAAATAACGATGATCATGGCGATTGAGGAATCAGGCATCTGCATTCGACCTTGGAGCAGAGAATGGCCGGTCGCCCCCAGCACCAACAATGAAACATCACATGTGATATACGTGCTGCTGGTAGTAGTATTCGGTGCAATTGCTGTGCGACCGTCTCCTGAATCTACCACATCGCAGAGCCCTACGCCGCTATACCGACGCCCCAAGCCTTACTCATTGGCTCGGTGCGGTGATGAGCGGCCGAAGAAAGTCCAGACATCGCAGACAGAGCATCTGCTTACCTACTCGTGTGGGCAGCTCGTTAGCAGGCGGCCAAAGTAACCCTGGCCGGGGTCTGAGGACATCCCAGCCTTTGCCTGCCTATCAGCCACCCGGCCAGCCCAGCAGGGCCAAGGCCCAATCTCGGTCAATGATATGCACCCGTTGCTGGGTAGGCTGACAAGAACAAAGCAAGCAGAGAGCGAGGGAGAGAACACATAGACAGAGAGAGAGACACGAGCTGGAGAGATAAGCCAGCCCCCCCCCCCCCCCCCCCCCCCGCCACTTTGCACAGAGGCCAGCAAGGGACCACACGAATGGTTTGGCTTCTCGGAATAGATTCGATGTTAGCCTGCTCTGCTACGTAGTAGTAACCAGTACAAGGGTCGAGCTGACGGCCCTGACAGGCTGATAAGTTACGAGACCCTCTCGTTACTCGCAGATCGCTTGACCCCAATCTACATTTCAATGGTATATATTACCTGAGCATCACCGCAGCCGAGTCCACACCCGGTCAACGTCCCTCCCCCCTCGCTCTCCTCATTCTCAATATTCGACAACGCGCAAAGAGGTCGTCGCCTTCTTTCGTGTCACCCAACGACTCGAATTTTTTTAACAGAATTGGGAGCAACTCGGAACAGAGCGCCATCATGGACAATCACGGCGTCGTCCACAGGTCGACGTCCTCGTCCCCCTCGGGGGACAAGGAAAAAATGTCGTACAGCGACGTCGACGTCGACGCCAGCCACCGCGGCATCGAGACGTCGGCCGAGACGTCGCTGCAGCGCGGCCTCAAGGCCCGTCACATTACTATGATCGCCATAGGCGGCGCTATCGGCACAGGTCTCATCATCGGCACTGGCAAGGCCCTCGCCCAGGCCGGCCCCGGCTCCATCTTCATATCCTACTCCATCGTCGGCTTCGTCGTCTACCTCGTCATGGCCGCTCTCGGCGAGATGGCCGCCTGGCTTCCCATGTCCGCCGGTTTCACCGGTTACGCCTCTCGATTCTGCGACCCCTCGCTCGGTTTTGCTCTCGGTTGGACGTAAGCTATACCAAAATTTTTTTATTTGCCTCCCCTCTTCGCGACCCAGTCTTAACGGCCGCCCGCGCCCGCGCCCGCGCCGTGCGACGTGACCACCACCCACCCCTCCGAGGTATTCAGTGAGGCTAACCTGCAAAACTTGTCGCAACACAGCTACTGGATGAAATACATCATCGTCACGCCCAATCAGCTTACCGCCGCCGCTCTGGTCATCTCGTTCTGGCTACCTCACGATCGCGTCAACCCGGGCGTCTGGATCGCCATATTCCTCGTCGCCATCATCTGCATCAACTACTTCGGCATTAGGTTCTTCGGTGAATTCGAGTTCTGGCTGTCGAGTTTCAAGGTTCTCGTCGTCGTCGGCGTCATCCTTCTCGCCCTCATCATCGCGGCGGGCGGCGCCGACGGAGACGCGCGAGGATTCCGATACTGGAACGACCCTGGGTACGTACCTCTCGCGGCGATCCCCAGCGCAGACGCGCAATCACTCGGTAGTGCGGTGGAACGGTGATAACTGACTAGACTTGCAGCGCATTCCGCCCTTACCTCGCGACGGGCTCGTGGGGCGAGTTCCTGGGCTTCTGGTCCACCATGGTGACGGCCACGTTTGCCTACCTGGGTACGGAGCTGGTGGGTGTGACGGTGGGCGAGGCGCAGAACCCGCGCAAGACGATCCCGCGCGCGATCCGGCTCACCTTCTACCGTATCGTCTTCTTCTACTGCATCAGCATCCTGCTGATCGGCATGTGCGTGCCGTACGACTCCGAGGACCTCGCCTTCGCCAACGGCGTGTCCAACAACGCCAACGCGTCGCCCTTCGTGGTCGCCATCAAGCTGGCGCATATTCCCGCGCTCGACCACATCCTCAACGCCTGCATCCTGCTCTTCGTCTTCTCGGCCGCCAACTCAGACCTGTACATCGCGAGCCGGACGCTATACGGGCTCTCGTCGGACGGCGCCGCGCCGTCCATCTTCCGCCGCACCAACAAGAACGGCGTGCCGCTGTACTCGCTGCTGGCGTCGGCGGCGTTCGGGCTGCTGGGCTTCCTTAACGTGTCGGACGACTCCAAGGCCGTCTTCACGTACTTCGTCAACCTGACGACCATCTTCGGGCTGCTAACGTGGGTCTCGATCCTCGTGACGCACATCTACTTCGTGCGCGCGCGGCGCGCCCAGGACCTCGGCGACCACGCCATGCCATACGTCGCGCCCCTCGGCATCTACGGCTCGTACGGCGCCCTCGCCATGTGCTGCCTCATCGCCCTGACCAAGAACTACGACGTCTTCGTCGGCGACTGGGGCGAGAAGTACCCGACCTTCATCACGGGCTACCTCGGCATCCCCATCTACCTCGTCCTCATCTTCGGCCACAAGCTCTGGACCAAGAGCAAGGGCGTCCGCCCGCACGAGTGCGACTTCTACACCGGCAAGGACGTCATCGATCGCGAGGAGGAAGAGTTCCTCGCCGCCAAGGCCGCGGAGCGCGCGCAGCGCCCAGAGAAGGCCGGGTCCTTGTTCTACCGGCGCTTTGTCTCGTGGCTGTTCTGAGGCGATTTTTTTTCCTTTTTTCTATAAGAGGACGCTTCTATTGGGGTTTTATCGGGCGGGTATAATGGCGGGAAACTGGATGGCATGTATTTATTGGTTTCTCGCCGTTGTTGGCGAGAAAGGGACAAATTACCCTAGATACCTTCTTTTTATTTATTTTTCTATCTGTATATACAACTCTACACCCCAAATCCCGTGTTCATATAGTGTCTTACGCCATGATGAATCATGCAATGGAATCGAAAACTATATCTTGCAACTCTATGGAACTTGTTACTCGTACGGGTCTAACTAGGTGGCTGTCTGGTGGCTGTTTACGCTTGTCTTAGGTACGATTCAAGGAGACGAGAGAGGGAAAAAGAGAGAGCCCTGAGCTCCTACATCACAGTTTGGGGAGAGGGGAGAGGCTGGGAAGCGGGTGGCGACATGTCCCTCGACGTACATGTGGTGGGACAAGGAGCAAACGTCTGAGTATACGACGAGCGCTTCAAGCTCTTGTGTTACGCAAGAGTTGCGATATTTTTATTCGTCTGTTTGCTAGGTCGAGTTTCCCACCTGCATCGAACACGCATAGAACACTTCTATGTATCCTCGACCGTGTAACGTCATGGATTTGAAGTCATGGTTATGAGAGATATCTACCAAGGGTATCGTTGCCTACCAGCCCTATATCCCTCTGCCATCCTCTGCCGTTACTCGTCCTTTATTTTTAGGACCCGCCACGTGGGATCTACAGAGACTCGCCTAGCTGGAGGTAGTTTTTTTGCTTGCAACAAGATGTCCGCGGACCCAGTTCGAAGGATCGGATCGCCCGCGAGGATAGGGGCCGCCCCTCCTCTTCCGCGTTCTGATCATCTCGTTGGGCAGAAGTGCGACGGCGTGAATGATTGCGGCTTCGGTGCACACCGAGTCGACGCAGACGATAGCTTGGCTCTCGGCCTCGAAGCTTGGAGGTCCTAGGACGGGCTGGACGTACTGACTGGTATCTACCATGTCCCGTCAAAGCGTTGAGCCGCGCTTCCGGATCGCCAACAACCCTGCATCACCATCCTCTACAGTGCTGGTGCCGACAACCGGCTCCTTCGAGCAGCCGGGATGCGTCGTGATCCGGTAGTCTCAGTCCTAGGAACACCGGGATCAGGGGCCAAGCTGGTGGCAATATCTTGGTCTTCGAATATACGGCATTCCTTTCCTTCTAGGCGTGTTCGATGAGGCTTGGCATTTTCACAGACAGGTAGAGCATGCTGGTTGCGAGGACGAGGCTCGGTGACTGATAACGCAGCAAGGCCACGAGCAGGTATATACAGTTCGGGCGGTGACAATAATAAATTCTTTCCGTAGGTCAACTGCTGCTGTCTATACGACGAGATACCATCTTTCTGTAGCCCAACTATACCGCGTAGCCTGATCTAGACACCGAAATACAACAAGAAGCTAAGAGTGGAAAGGCCAAGAGGCTATTGATATAGGCAGCAGTGCCAATGTCGAGGCCGAGATGATAGTGGGTTGCTACTGAGGATAGCTAAGTACAGGCGCGGGGGGTTCGAGGAGAGGATGATGCCCATGTAGGGCAAAAAGACATGCTCATGCCCTGTTTCTGTACGACTTGAAGATAGGTCATAAACCCTGGGACGACGAAATGAGGTATGTGGAAGCGTGAGAGAGGGACAGTCGAAAAAAGAGAAAAGGGGGAAATTTCAAAACGAACGGCTTGGGCGGGATTCGAACCCACGGCTCTTCCTGTCATCTGTCCGTAATACTAGAAGACGATGAAACGAGCTTACCACTGCACCTCCAAGCCCTTGTTACGACTGTCGCCTGCTGGTGAAGAAGAGCCTAGCAATTTAGAACTATGACTACCTACCTGGTTGCTTGGTATGGCGCTTGCCTTTGTTGCTTTTTAACTGCGGTTGTTTATATCTAGGGCCCCGAAATGCACGGCAGACAAGATCATCACGACTGATCCAGTAATCTACTAACACAAGAGAGTGCCTCCCTGCACGTACATGCACAGAAGAAACACAGAGGAGCATGCATCAGGCAGATGAGGCTATCCAGAAGACGACCACCATGACTGTAGATGTGTAGATATCTATGTAGAGACTTCACTCTAGGTAGACTAACCTAGACACCCAAGGTATCCAACGTGGACAGCACATCCTCCAGAGTCTCAGCAGCGACACTCCCCCCTTTTACTTTACTTTTAAGTTCTTTCGCAACTCCGAGTATATCTGCCGAGGAGTGCACAAACCGCTTCCTCATCCCTGGATTCGCGTTCTCCAGAAGCGCCGTAGCAAGCTGCAAGACATCCGCCTGGAAGTCGAGGAGCGTCTCCGAGTCCTGCGCCTCGCCTTCCATGGCGGGAGCGTCGTACGCCGCCACGGCAGTCACGACGCCCATCCAGTCTTCGGGCGTGCTGCCCTCGCTCTCGACCACGATCTGCAGCACCAGGGCGATGCGGGTGCCGCGGATGAGGTCTGCCTCGGGCAGCGAGGAGGAGGCAGACGTCGTCGAGCTCTCCTCGAGGATCTTGAGCAGGTCCGCCGACAGCACCCTCCACCCGTCCTGCGCGGCGAAAGCCTCGATGCCGCGGGGAATGCGGAGCACGCCCTCGAACGCGGCGAGGACGGGGAGCCGGTAGTCGAGGCCACCCTGGTGCTGCGACGCGCTGCCGCTGCCCTGGTACAGCTCGACGAACATGTCCATGAGGGCCGCGGCCTCCTTGCGCAGGGCGTCGCCGTCGTCGTCGCGGACCCAGAGCGCGAGCGCGCGGACGGCCGAGAGCACGAAGGCGTCGTCGGCGGCGGGCCCTTCGGCCGCGTCCCACGCGAGCGTCCGGCGCGACCCGAACTCGGTGTGCGCATTGCCGGCCCGTGCCGCCGGGTGCAGCCCCCGCGCGCCCGCCATCGACGCGTCCCACCGGTCCCGCAGGTACTCCATCGTCGCCGACAGCGCCTCGCCGATCGACGTGCTCAGCTTGAGCACGAGCTCGGGCGGCATCTGGAGCCGGGACTGCGTTGTCGTTGTCGAACTCGAGGTCGCGCCGGAGGCGGTAGTAGTGGTGCCATCCAGCTCCTCCATCAACGCGATCAGCTGCCCGATGAACGCCGTCAGGATGTCGAGGGCCGAGGTGAGGCGCTGCGAGATCCGCGGGTAGTCCGGGTCGTTGAGCTTTTCTAGGAGCGAGGGTAGGGTCGCGCGGAGGTCTGTTAGGATGAGGTTGATGAAGAGGTACGAGAATGGCTTTGAAGACTCCTTATCGTCTAAGAACAGCACTTGGGGCGTGGACTCCGGATATATGAGTAGGAGCGCGCCCGCGCAGTTCGTGTAGGCAGAACGGCTTGCCGCGTTCGGGCGGTTTGTCGATAGGTTCCGCATGAGCTTCGCTACCGAGCCAAGCCATTTGGGATTTTGCGGTATGAGCTATTGGGCTATGAGGACGAAGTTCATACCAATGAGTGCTCGTGGGTAGTGGGAAACTTACACGATCGTCCAGGTTCCGTAACACATGAGATACGAACTCCAGGAGACTCGTCGCATCGGTGCCGATAAAAGATGAGACAAAAGCCTGGATTCCTCTGTCGATTTTGGCACGCATCTCCTCTCTTGACTGGCCATCCTCAAGGCCTGTGGTGCCCTTTTCCCAGGCCCAGATGAATATCGTCAGAATATGCGAATGCTCCGGGGCGATCTCTATGAGCGGGGACCAGTCATCGACATCAAGGCTGACGAAGGCCTTGGCACCTTCAGGCACGGTAACTAAAGTGAGCAATGTCTCTATGATGATCCGAGTTGTCTCTGGGGAGCTTGTCTCAAGTCAGCAAGTATGCACACCTAGGTATGCCATAGACAAGCAAAGAGAGTGACTTACCTATAGAGCACGGCAGTCGCCAGTCTCGGTATTCTGCCGATGAGTTTATTATCCTGCTTTGCCTCATCGGGCAGCAGGACCGCAAAGGTGTGAACGACGGCGATTGCCAGGTCTAGCATGTCCTTCGAGCTCTTCTGGTCTGGGCCAGATTGGGTACCGGTCCGTAGTAGCCGGTCGAGAAACTTGGGCGAGATGGAGTCCCATAACGAGACGATGACTTCTTTCTCATCTTGCAGCTCTGGTGAGTTGTCCAGGACTGACCTTAGGAGAGCCAGGCCGACAAATCGGGAGGTGTCATCTCTGTTCTTGAGGAGCTGCTGGATCTTCTCTATGGACGGAGCTTGGCTTGAGGCTGGCGCGTTCTCGTCGTCGCTTCGTACTTGCAGCTTTGAGACATCTGGAACATCCATAGCTTTCTAGGGCTCCCATTTATATGGGAAGGTATCTTCAAGTTAAGAGCATCGCCGGTCTGTTGGATTCGATACTAGGTGGGCATTTGGCGTCCAATTCTTTTACCCTGGTAGCTTTTCTAGATCGAAGAAAATATTTTATATATTTTGTTGAATCAAAGACGTTTATGCTTTCTGCGCTTGGGAGTAAGTTATAGATTTCTCCTCTTGCGTTCTCGAATGTGAATATTTGTCTGGCTGTCTGGTCACAACTAAAAGAAGCTGGTAACAATGTCGTAACAACCTCTGTGCTCTTCCCCTTATCGTTATCATTGGTGCGATATCCTTATCGCTACGTGCATACAGCGGCCTGCAGCCTGCAGCCAGCTAATAATAGGTGCAGTTCCAGCGATTATGACCCCTACGTCGCCGATCGCAGTGTCCCCCGTAACACGACGCGCCGCATTGAAATCTGTCTCGATATCGCGAAATCGCGGAAACGGTCCGACAGCATAGCGTGGACGCTGCGACATGGCAGATCGCATCACCGGGCCTTCGAGATGGCAAGCAGCAGGAATTTCGTAAACACCCGCGAGGGGGAAGGCTCGTCTTCCTCCTCGTGGTCGCCGCACGACCCGCCGCCCCCGACTAATGACGATGACGAGAGGGACGAGCTCGACAACCTGTTTGACGGTAACGATGGCGATGTTATGGGCGAGGACCCGATGAACGAGGAATTGGCCGAGCCGATGAGCTTCAAGAGGAAGCAGAAGCAGTCGGTGTTCTCGCAGCCCGGTCGGCTGCTGTCCACGCTGACGGGTAACCGCCTGGGATCGCCGCATTCCGGCGCCGCAACCCCGACCAGACTGCTGACCCTGAACACCGGACGGGACGAGAGCATCTCCAATGCGCCGAACGAGCCGAATACCCCCAACGCCCCCAAAGAGGGTGCCCCCCTCGATTGGTATGTCGAGGGTCCGGGCCGAAGAGTAGGGTACGAGGACTTGACGGCCATCGACTGGATCTTCGAGTACACGAAAGAGCGACAACGTCTGCGGGTCCTGTACTCGAGCGCCACGGGCATCGTCGGATACATACAACAGCTGCTGGACTCCAGCCAGACCTGGGTGGTGCTCGTGCTGACGGGAATTGCCGTGGGTACACTGGCGGCTGGAATAGACGTGGCCTCGGACTGGCTCGGAGATATCAAGACGGGATACTGCGCTTCCGGCCCCGAAGGCGGCGCGTTCTACCTGAACAAGCAGTTCTGCTGCTTCGGCTACGACCAAGGCGCCAAGTGCTTAGGGTGGAAGCCCTGGGCTGCGGCTCTAGGGGTAGGGTCAGGCGCTGGGAAATGGATTATAGAGTATCTCTTCTTCCTGTTGCTCTCAGTGGGTGCCCCTGGGCTTATTCTATGTACATGCTGGACAGCTAACCCACCTGAAGGTAACTTTTGCGCTCTGCGCCGGATTTCTGGTTAAAGAATATGCGATCTACGCTAAACACAGCGGTATACCCGAGATAAAGACGGTGTTGGGAGGATTCGTTATTCGGCGCTTCTTGGGGGCCTGGACTCTAGTTACGAAATCTTCGGGATTGGTATGTTCTATACTGACATACCCGTGTCATATTCGAAATGGGTCACTGACTGAGAGATAGTGTCTGGCTGTTGCGTCGGGCATGTGGTTGGGAAAGGAAGGCCCCTTGGTACACGTCGCCTGCTGTTGCGCCAACGTGTTCATCAAGTTATTTCCAAATATCAACACGAATGAAGGTCGGTGCTATTTATAAACGCTGAAAATCCCGTACGGTTGCTAACTCGAGAGTAGCACGAAAACGAGAAGTCCTGTCTGCAGCTGCGGCGTCAGGAATCTCCGTAGCATTCGGATCTCCTATCGGAGGTGTGCTGTTCAGTCTCGAGCAGCTTTCTTACTATTTCCCCGACAAGACCATGTGGCAGAGCTTCGTGTGTGCCATGACGGCAGCCGTCGTGCTGCAGGCCTTCGACCCATTCCGATCTGGCAAGCTTGTGCTATACCAGGTCAAATTCAGCACCGGGTGGCACGGTTTCGAAGTCATCCCTTTCGCCTTTCTAGGCATACTAGGTGGTATATACGGCGGCCTTTTCATCAAGGCCAACATGCGCGTGGCACAATGGAAGAAGTCGGCGTCTTGGCTTCCGGGACCCCTAACACAAGTCGTCCTGGTGGCCCTCCTGACAGCCCTCATCAACTACCCTAATTTCTACATGCGAGCCCAGTCCTCAGAGCTGGTGTCCTCGCTCTTCTCCGACTGCGCGCTAGTGCTCGACGACCAGTTCGGCCTCTGCAGGAAGGGCGCGGCGACGGCCGGCACCATCGTGCTGCTGCTGTTCGCGGCCATCCTGGGCTTCTTCCTGGCGTCGGTCACGTTCGGGCTGCAGATCCCGGCGGGCATCATCCTGCCGTCGATGGCGATCGGGGCGCTGTCAGGGCGGGCGGTGGGCATCGTGATGGAGATCTGGCAGCACAACCACCCGGGCTTCTTCGCGTTCGGGACGTG